CCCCCCCCCCCCCCCCTTCCCCGGGTGGGCGCCTGTCAGTTGCAATTGTAAAATAGCCAATTTCTAAATGTATAATAGCTCTGTAACTTAAATTGTAGGACTTGAAAAAAAAAAAAAATTGTATGGGTTCGTTTCATTTGGTGGTAAGTGTATTCTCGCCGCATTGTACTTGGCAAACGTTATTATGGGGGTAATTAACATCACATAATTTTATTCCTATGCAATATTAGTGACTTGTGCATACGAATTCAATGTAATACTAAAAAGAGTGAACAACGTTTAAATTTCAAATGAATGGAAGTGCAACTAAAAGTAATACTAAATGTCAGTGTCATATCATTAAAATAAAAAAATCTTAGTCTTATTTTAATGATATGGTATTGATATTTAGTATTACTTTTAGTTGCACTTCCATTCATTTGAAATTTAGACGGTGTTCACTCCTTTTTTTGGATAAATACTTTTTGCAGACTATGTTAGTATCGTATCATTTATTTATTTTTTATACATGATTTGTTGGTTAGGGTGTTCAAGAATCGTAGTTTCTGCGGGGAGCCAAAATGATCGCCACTGCTCTCACGTTGTTTGTCTCCCTGTGACAATTATAGCTTCCACTCGAAGTGATTAATTCATCTTGTTGATCATCAAAAGTGGATTTTTCAAAGATTTTCCTTAGTTTCCCTACTTTTCTTCAATGTTGTTTTGAACCATGATTCTTTTAGAAGGAAAAATCCTCTCCCCCCTCCCCAAAAAAAAAAGCCAAACATGACCCCTGAGGTTTATTAAATGAAGCTTTGCTGTACGCGTGTATATCCCAAGGAAGAATTTCAGAGGGTCCAACCAGCCAAGCGTGTGCGTTGTAGTCACAGCTTTTCTTGGTCGGACGGTGGGAAATTTGGGGGACCCCTTTCTTATCCTTCTTTTCATATTTTATTTTCTTAAATTATTAAATTATTAATACTTTTTGTGGATAAAGAAATTCTGTCACTATATATATATATATATATATATATATATACTAGTTATTATCTGTGTCTGAAGGCATAGAGTAATAAAAAATAATAAATAATAAACATATTTGTATTTATATCCAAAAATAAATTACAAATATAGAGAAGAGATAAAAAAATTTAAATATCGGTTTGTAGTGGGAGTAAGAGGTGGTGGGCGACAGTGATGGTGGTAGGAGACAGTAATGGTTGTGGAGGGTGACAATAACCGTGGTGGCATAGTGGCGGCGATGGTGGTGGGGGTGGCTGTGGGAGGCGACGGTGGTGGTGATGGTAGTGGTTGCGACGACGGCGATGGTGGTGGTGATACAGATAGTGGTGGAGCGATTTTAAAAAGTCACTCTAAATACACCATTAGGAACCTATTTTTCTTATTAAATTTAGGATATTAATATTAGTTGTTAGATTAACATTAAAATAAAATTTAAAGCGATCTCAATCGTGAATAACAAAAGTATTTTATTTATCTTTTGAACTTTATTACATATTAGTTATTGTCTGTGCCTGAAGACACAGAGTAATAAAAAATAGTAAACCATAAACATATATGTATTCGTATCCAAAAATAAATTACAAATATAGAAAAAAGATAAATGAATTTAAATATCGGTTGTAATGGGGGTGAGTGGTGATGGGCGGCAATAGTGGTAGATGGAGACGGTGATGGTGGTGGTAGGTGGCAATGACCATGGTGGTGATGGCGGTGACAGTAGTGGTGGTGGTGGCGGCGACAGTGGCGACGACGGTGGTGGTAGTGGCGACGATGACGGTGGTGGTGGCGACAGCGACGACAGGAGTGGCGGCAGTTGTGACGGTGGCGGTGGCGGTGGCGGCAATAGCAGTGGTGGTAAAGGTAATGATGGGGCGGGTTTAAACACTATTTTTTAAAAAATATTTATGAGAAATAATTTTTAAAAGTCACTCAAAACGCACCATTAAGGGTCTATTTTTCCTATCAAATTTATGATGTTAATATTAGCCGTTAGATTAACTTTAAAATATAATTTAAAACGATCTAAATCGCGAATAGTAAAAGTCATTTTATTTATCTTTTAAAATTTGAATTGTAAACTACTTTATTATATACTAGTTATTGACTGTGCCTGAAGGTATAGAGTAATAAAAAATGATAAATAATAAACATATTTGTATTCATATTCATAAACAAATCACAAACATGGAAAAGAGGTAAAAGAATTTAAACATCGATTTTTGTAGTGGAGGTGAGAGGTGGTGGGCGACAGTGATAGTGGTAGGAGATGATGATGGTTGTGGTGGGTGTCAATGACTGTAGTGGCAGTGGCGGTGGCAGTGGTGGTGGTGGTGGTAATGGTGACAGGGGCAACGGTGGTGGTGGTGGTGGTGGTGGCGGTGGCAGTGGTGGTGGTAGAGGTAATAGTGAGACGGTTTCAAACACTATTCTTTTTTAAAATTATTTATGATAAATAATTTTTAGAAGTACTTTTAAAAAATTACTCCAAATACACTCAAAAGGGTCTATTTTTCTTATTAAATTTAGGGTGCTAATATTAACTATTAGATTAACTTTAAAGTAAAATTTAAAGTGATCTAACAAAAGTCATTTTGTTTATTTTTTAAAATTTGAATTGTAAGTTATTTTATTATATATATATTAAGTTGAGTATTACAGACTTAAGTTATGAAAATTAAATCTTTGCACATGAGAATAAAATTAATCATGTAACGATGAAAGACTCCTACATTCAAATACACCGCATAAACTTGTGTCCTAAATTACACCTTTAGGGCTTATTTGGTATATTTTTTGGAAAGGGTTAAAATTGTCTTGTCCAAACCCTTCCAAAGTTAAAGATGGGATTCAACATTCAATGCCGTTCATACCCATTTTTTATATGCGCACGAATATATAACTATTGTGTCTTTTAACTAATTTAATCTAAATTCATATTTATTTACGTATAAAGGATATATGGGGACATATATATCATTTGCTAGTTTAAACCCATTAACCCACATACCGAACTCACCCCCCGGGGAGTTTAATTCTCAGGTCTAATGCGGGCTAGATTTCAAACTTTAGATTAATTATGCATTTACCAAATATGAGATTGTTAAGTTTTATTCTTTAACCCATGTTTCAAAACCCTCAAATTCACGTACCAAACATGCCGTTAGACCTAGATTCACATTGGATTATCTAAGATAAAAAGTTAGAATACGTATTTTTACTTCAAGAGACTGTTGCTAAGTCTGATGGCCTGAATGTTAAAAAGTCGGCCATTGGTTTGTGTTCACACACCTCTTGGGATAATTGTCGGTGACATAGTCATACCATTCGTGTGGGTAATTAGGTATGTGGTCTACATTCTAACAGTAGTGGAGGTGGGAGCTGTGATATCTACTCTCTCTCTCTCTCTCTCTCTCTGGACATGATATGTGATGGGATGTTGGCCACCTTCTTCAAAAACCC